ATTAAACCCCAAAAAACCCCCCAAAATTTGGGGCCTTTAGGGGGGGGGAAAAAAAAAAAAAGGGGGGGGGAAAAAAAAAAAAGGGGGAAAAAAAATTTAAAAAGGGGGGGGGGGGGGGGGGGGGGAAAAAATTTAAAAAAAAATTTTTTTTTAAAAGGGGGGAAAGAAAAAAAAAATTCCCAAAAAAAGGGGGAAAAAAAATTTTTTGGAAAAAGGGAAAAAAAAAAAAAGGGGGAAATTTTGAAAACCCCCCAAAAAAAGGGAAAGGGGGGGGGGGGCCCCCCAAAAAAAAAGGAAAAAAAAAACCCCCGGGGTTTTTGGGGGGCCCCCAAAACCCCCCCAAAAAAAAAAACCCAAAAAAATTTTTAAAAAAAAAAAAATTTTTAAAAAAAATTTTCAAAAACAAAGGGGGGGGGGAAAAAGGGCCCCCAAAAAAATTTAAAAAAAAAATTTAAAGGAAAAAAGGGAAAAAGGGGGGAAAAAGGGGGGGGGGGTTAAAAAGGGGGGAAAAACCCCCCCCCCTTTTTAAAAAGGGGGGTTTTTTTTCCCCAAAAAAAAATTTAAAAAAAAAGGGGGGGGGGGGAAAAAAAAACCCCCCAAAAAAAAGGGGGGGAAAAAAAAAAAATTTTTTTTTTAAAAAAAAGGGGGAAAAAAAAAATTGGGGGGGGGGGGAAACCCAAAAAAGGAAAAAAATTTTTTAAAAAACTTAAAAAAAAAAAAAACCCCAAAAAATTTTTTTCCGGGGAAAAAAAAAAAAAAGGGGGCCCCCGGGGGGGGGGAAAAAAAAAAAAAAAACCCCAAAAAAAAAAAAAAAAACCCCCCCAAAAAAAAAAAAAACCCCCCAAAAAAAAAAAAAACCTTTTAAAAAAAAAAAAACCCCCCCCGGGGGGGGGGGGGGGCAGGGGGGGGTGGGGGTTTTTTTTTTTGGGAAAAAGGGTTTTTTTTCCCTTTGGGGTTTAAAAAAAGGGGAAAAAAGTACCCCCCAAAAGATGGGCTGAATATGTTGCATAAAGAGCTTGGAATTACAAAATTGGCTGTAGAGGTTATTCGAGTTATTCTAGAGATATGGTCACCTGTTATCGCACTTAGTGACTAAAAGTTATTCCAGGCTGTGAAGGTCGCTGGATTCTAGTGATCTAGATAACATGTGTTGGATAGCCGAGCTAAATTATTTTCAAATAATTTTCTGGCTCATAACACTGAGTCTTTGGTGAGTGTTTCTTGTGAGTTGAACCTTTGTTCAACTGGTAGTTATGTGTATAATCTTATAGTACATATTGTGATGGTTATTCTAATGATTAAATTCAGTCATAACTTAATATATGCATATATTCGTAGAGTTTTTGACTGCATAGAATATTCTACAATTTAAAGGGCTTAACGTATGATTAAATTAATATTTTTTTTCTCCTGGATCTAACGAACTATAATTCGTATAATAATCTATCAATATCTGAAATTTAGTGCCACTCTATTACGACCAATTAACAAACCAGAGAGAGTAACGTGCCCTGATCAGTTAAATTGTAACTGTTTAGTATATAATAAATGAGTGTCTGTTCGAGATCCAGGGGCTGGAGATTAATATTTTATACATTAAAGTAAGCTATTTCTGTAAAGGAAGGATTCAAGTTTACTTCTAGAAGTTAAAGTACAGTACTCCATTGACCTTTCTTTCGGTATCTGAATAAGATTAGAAACTTTCGTTGCAAAACTTTGGAAAGTGGCTCTACATCTTGGAATTCCGTTTAAACGTAGATGCACTGCCGCCAGGTTAGAGAGTTAATTACCAGGGCGTCGTTTCCAGAGGTAGTTAGGACTTACAAGGTCTTGAAGAATTGGATATATTAGCAACAACTGGATAACATTATGTAGAAGTATCGCCAACCAGTGGCTTAATCATTACAATTCAGGATGAAATCGAAGACTGAAGAGGTAGAAGATGAGGTAATTAGTCCCTCATCCTAGCAGCAGGTGTTCAGCAACATAGTCTCGCCACTGGCTGTCAAAAGTCTTCATAATAAAGATACCAGTTGTTTCACATGTGTCTAATTGTCAACTTAATTTGTCAGTATTATATACCATTAATGTTATGATACTCCCATGGGTGTTAAAGATCACGCTGTAGTATCTTGTTCTTGGTCCTTACCTACCAGAATCACTACTTGTTTTACTCTAACTGTACAATGACCTAAAGGGGGACCCAGTTAACCCCTCCCCGAGACCAGTGGATCAACCTATGGAGTGGGTTACAGTTCATGGTAAAGAGGGTTAAGTCATGGAAACCCACGTGGTTCTTTGTCACTTTTTCACGGATAAAAGTAGTGCCATAAGGGAGGACAGATACCTTACAGGAATTGAACCTCCTAGTACAAGGACAAATACTCTTTTTCTTAATACAGATGCTATGTAGTCTCGAGTAGATGACTCCATGGGACCACCTCCTCCTCCTCCTGCTCATCCAATGTTTGACGCTGTTTCGACAAGAACACAGTAACTGCATTTCACAACTGACTCACCATCGACAGTTGATTTCTCAAGGCCACTTTATCTTCAATAAGAATAAAAAAGTTCTCCCAAGACGAACCCTCTTCAGTTCAACTACACTTCACGGCCGGTGTGGGAGACTGGGACTCGACCTACGGCTTGTCCCAATGTAAACTTTATAAACACCACCTCTTGATTTGGCGAAGATCTCCTATTCAGAAGAACAATGTGCCCTCGCGGACGGGTTGTATTATAAGCAGTTACAGTGCTTAAATTTGCAGAGCTCCATAAACGATGAAGACTGGCGAAGAGAAAAATTCTGATGTAAGCGAAATACGAGTCAGCCTCACCAGCATCCACCGACTACATGTCGAACTGGAAAACTTAATGTACAGAAGACAGTTCTTTGGTTATAAGATTCATGAAGCAGTATCCTGACACTTTCTAAGTAGCCTTTGATAATGAGGAATGAGACTTAAGGTGGCCTAAGGAGCAGTGGGCTCTTTTGTTACACACTGTTCTGACGGAAAAACACAGAAGTGTATTGTGCCATTCCCGTGTGAGATGCATGTATGTTGATTATCGCCAAGAGAGCTTTATTGGATGAGTAGAAACTAATCCCTCTTAATTATGAGAATATTTTTTAAACGTTGAAAAGAAAGCTAGGACAGTCCATTGTTGTTTTTACGAGAAAAAGTAATTTCCCTTTAATAGATGAAGCAGAGCAGAGGACGTTAAAACATTAGAAATTGCGTCATCATGATAGACAAATCTTGTACAGATCTTTTTCAATATGGCTTTTGTTGCTGATTGCTCTGCAGTATTCCACAAGAAAATACAACCCAAGTTCCATCCTGACAAAGGTTCTTACAAAGGTAAAAGCAAATTTGGCGAGCCAGGTCCTCCGTTTACCTTATATCAGAAGGAAAACTTTAAGAATTCTTCACCACAGAATCGAACCCTGCCATCTTTTTCTTACCCTGTCGAAGATTCAGCGAACTCCACATCATTCTCTGAGCCGAGAAATAACAATGGAAAGGCAAGAACTTTCTCTCCTGTTCATATTGTAAAAAGACTGGTCATTCGAATGATCGTTGTAGTGGACAAGAGTGTACTTCCCCTGGCAGCTGTAGCTACTCATCCTGTAGACTGCCACTCACTATCAAGTGTACTCCTCGGAATCTCCATCGAGTTGATGTAATCAGTTCATCAATCTTGAAAAGAATACAGCATAAGTGCGAAGAAGTGGCTAATATACTGTAGGCAGGTGAGGTGCAACAGTCATAGGTGGTATCACATTTGACAGATGTGGAAGCAGATTATGCCTAAAGGTTAGATAAGTGAAGTATTCCCTGTAATAAGATCCCAAAATGTTGCTGTGTCAGACAAGAATGTAGATGAATGGTTCAGAGAACCGACAAGTTCATAAATTAGACACATGTGCAACTCTTGGGTACCTTTAATGAGGAAACGTTTCGCACGCAGTGGCTTCATGAGTCCAACGCTCTTCTTACTGAATAAAGCAAGCGATAATTTGTGTATCAATAATTTTACAAATATCATTCTGAATCAAGAAAAATATATTTCATTGTGTTTGTTTATTATTAAATTATTGTAAATGTGGCATACAAAGAGAATGTTACAATTTATTCAGCATATGTGCACACTCCCATATAGGCTACCTCCCAACCAGCGAACCAGGTGCTAAGGGTTTAACAGTATGGGTACCCATCGTTAAATCAGTACCTTGGTTCATTAAGCAAACACAGGCGGGACTGCCAAGTGCTGAGGCGACATGGTATCACTCGTGGTCAGCATTTGCCAGACTCGTGTAGTAGCTGTTTGAGTATGGTGCATTTTCTCCCTGGCTTCTGCTTTGCCAGTCTTTATCACTGTGGTACACTTATATTCAACTCCTATACATAGTATACATAAGTGCACGTAGCTTATATATATAATTGGTGAAGGAAATACAAGTTAAGTAGTACTGATGAGTTTGTTTTGCTCCAACCCAATTCGACCAGGTTACAGACCATTCTTTGCCTGTGTTCGTAAAATGGGAAGCTCTGTCCGGGAGCTAGAACTGGAGCTGGTCTCAGTATCGTTGGGAACTGAAGCTGGTCTTAATATCGTTCAGATAGCCTTTCTATCACTCGGCGGTGTGTATCAGCCTTGCTATCGCTTTCATTATTGCAAGTCAGCCTTGCAATCACTTTTGTTATTGCAAGTCAGCCTTGCTATTGTGTGTGTATCCCGCAAGACATACTATGCTAATGCTGCTTGTTGCATGCATTGCAAGCAACGAGTTACGTTGGGGTTAATGCCACTTACACAGGTCAGGTGGTTGGTGTCTGAGTATACTCTACTAAATCTGCCCAAACTATCTCTACAGCATTGCTGGCGAATTGCTCGTTCTATTGGTAGAGAGTATCAACGAACTCTCACTACTGTGCAGCTTCGTGACATTATGCATACAAAGTTGAGGGTTGAAGCAACTATGGTGCACCAAACAGGTATCTCCCACTACAGGAGCTGTTAATCACCGATCTCCGCTTAGGTTCCTTTGTAATGGGGGAGGAATAACACTAGAGCAATCAGACCAGCAGTCTCATAAAGCAGAAGGAGCACTGGGTTTGTCTCAGGGCGAGTCCACTTCATTAGCGCTCGAGTTAGCCAAACTCATCTTGAAACAACCAGAGAGCAGCAAGCATTTGCTAGGGAGTAGTTTGGTAGAGAAGGAGAGGAGGTAATTTAAGCATACTGTGGATGACTTTAGTGTGCAAAAGGCAGTGCAGCTAGTTCCTCGTTTTGTTGAAGCCGAGCCTGAACAGTTTTTTGAGGCATTTGAAAACCAGACTTGAGCATTAAAGTGGCCTGAGGAGCACTTGGCAGCATTGGTGCATGCAGCATTGTACTGTAAGGCACAAGAGTTCACAGCTGTGTTGAATAATGAAGAATGTATCAACTATCGGGTGGTTAAAACCACAGTTCTTGGGGCTTATAAGTGTATTCCCGCCAAATACGGGAGGGAATTCAAATTGTGTAAATGTCAGTTGGGTCAGTCTCACGTAGACTTTGTAAGGCAGCAGGCGAAAGCCTTCACCAAATGGTCTAAGACAAGTGGTGTCGCTAATTTGTCAGACCTAGTCCAGTTACATTTAGTGGATAACCTGCTGGAATCTGTTGGACCAGAGGTGAGAGTCTTTCTTGAAGATCAATCGTTGACCACTGCATTGGAAGTATCCAAGTTGGCTGACACTTGAGACTAACCGCCCCTTGTCCGAGCAGTCTCATCTTTCTTCCCAACAGCCTGACAAGAGTAGAGATCGTCAGAGAAGAGTTCCTGACTGGAGGACGAAGTGGCAGGACTAAGGGGAACGACGACACCAACCAAGTCACCTGGTGAGCCACAATATCAAACTCACGACCAACCTGGTGAATGACATCAAACTCATGCTCAAACACGGTGAACAACGATGTTAGTTTAGAGAGTGGCACCAACCACAAAGTCAGCAGGGAGCCAAGGTAAAACACGAGGTAACCTGTTATTTTTGCCATAAACCCGGCCATGCAAGATCGAACTGCCCAGCTAAATCCCAGACATTAAAGAGAATTACTACCCTCCCTATTGAGATGAACCAGAAAGAAGTAGTGTGGTATGGCCCCATACTACAGTACTTACCATATTTTCCTTCAGGAGAATTCAAAGGAAACTGAAGTAAGAACATTTAGGGATACCGGGACTTATTGTTCCCTTATAAGAGAGGGAGTACTTCCTGTCTCTGAGCAAATTTCAGAGCACTCATCATTTCTTTTAGAGGCATTTGGAGGAGCAGAATTTTCTGTCCCTTTACATATAATATAAGTGCAGAGTAAATATTACACTGGATATTTGACTGTAGGTGTTTCTGAAGGATTTACTATGAAAGATACTGTGTTATTACTAGGTAATAACATTCTTAATTCCACAAAGTGTCCAGAACCTATAAAGTCTAATTATTCTCCGATGTTGGCCATAACTCGGGCAAAATCCAAAGGGATGTCTGTTGAAAATGCTGACCTATCCTTGGACGACTCTGATCTAGGACTAGACAATTTGTTTTACGAGGAAAAATGCTGGATTGGCAGATATCTCTGTTTCCATGTCCCAAGGAACTGTCCTTCTGGGAGGAACAGTGAAAAGATCCTTCACTAAACTTAGCTTTTCAAATTGCCAGGGGTGAATCTCACTAAGATCACCCAGTCAAATAAAAAATTAAATAAGACCTCTTAATCTGCATAGAGACTGGTAAGGAGGTAGAGGGAAGGCAAAAAAAACAGAATGGTAGTTCCTAAAAAGTTTAGATCAGAAATCTTAAATATAGGTCACAATTCTTGGTTAGGAGGACACCTAGGAATTACCAAAACCTTGTATGGAATAAATAAGGCAAGATGTGAAAAATCACATCTGCTGTTGTAGGGAATGTCAGCAAGTAGGAAATCCTGGACATCACATTAAACCTGCACCACTCCATCCCATATCCACAGATGGAGAACCTTTTGCAGAGTTAATCATTGATTGTGTAGGTCCATTACCTAAGTCCAAGTCTGGGAACCAGTACTTACTCACTATTATGGACAAAGTTACTAGGTATCTAGAAGCAGTCCCTATGTGCAGTATCAACACCAAAGCCATTCTTAATGCCCTTACTAAATTCATATCCTGCTTTGGCATTCCTAAGTTTATTCAGAGTGACCAAGGTACCAATTTTACTGCCAAAGCGTTTAGGGAAGCATAGACTACCGTGAAGTGAATGAGGTCACTATTCCAGATGCTTATCCTCTGCCACATTTGAATGATGTAGTCGACTTTGTGGGTAAGGCTACTTTTGTGTCTAAACTCGACCACCTTAAAGGTTTCAATCAGGCACTACTGACAGATAAGGCGAAGGAAATCTCTGCCTTCATATTTCCAGGAGGTCATTATCAATACACAGTAACTCCCTCTGGGATGCGAAATTCGCTGGTATCGTTCCAAAAGCTGATACGTCAGGCTATTAAAGGACTTGAAGGCATGGCAGCTTACCTAGATGATATTGCAGTGGTGTCCGATACTTGGGACCAACATATGTTCAGACTTAAAGCTCTCTTTGAGAAATTTCAGTTTCCAATTAACTCTTAATTTATGTAAGTCATCTTTTGGTAATTTTTGAGCCATGAAGTAGGTAGTGGTAAAGTGGCCCTAAATTTGCTGAAATCCCTACCATTAAAAATTACCCAATATCTCATGATAGGAAATCTCTCCAACGATTTTTAGGGATGGTTGGGTTATATAGACGATTCTGGAAGAACTTTTTTAAAACCCTTTACATTACAAGTTGATACTTATGAGTCAGAGATAGGGGCAGTACTTCTACAAAAGTCTGGAGAAGAGTGCTTGCAGCCTGTGGCTTACTTCTCGGCCAAGTATCAGTTGTGAAGTATTAAAAAAATACTCCACAATTGAAAAAGAAGCCCTCACTCTGACACTGGCATTAGAACATTTCGAGGTCTATGTGGGGCAGTCATCCCAAGTGGTCACAGTCTACAGTGACCACAACTCTCTGGTCTATCTTAACTCCATGAAGAACCACAACACATGATTGATGAGATGGAGTCTCAGGTTGCAACCCTACAATATTCACATATTACATATTGTGGGCTAGGATAATAAGCTGGTTGATTCTCTTTCTCGTATTTAAATTTAGGTTAGGATGTGTTAGGGACTATATGGGTAGCCTAACTCTTTTTCTCCCTCCTCCTTTTTGTTTATATAATATTTTATAATTTTTTTTTTGGGGGGGGAGGGGTTTTGGTAAGGGGATATTCTGCTATCGTCTGCAGGAGTCTAGAACCAGCATTAGTTTAGAATTTGACTTTATGTCTCGAGAAAAGCTGAGCTCTATCTAATGAGTTGGATGGTTGAGAAGAAAGGTACTTCCATTATTGTTCAGTGCCATGGCGGCACACTACCCATGGAGGTGGAAGCCTAGTCCTGGCTATTAGAGCCCTTTTGGGGTGTGGGTGTGGCATGCAAACAGTATGTTATAATTTATTTGGCGTATGTACACACTCCCCCACCTGACACAACAGAATCTCTCCTAGAGGACACCAGTAAAATTAAAGACATGGGAGAAAGCCTGGGCCTTTCTTTAAACCTCACCAAATGTGAAATAGTTTCTACTAATCGACAGATGATCCAGAATATTAGTGGCTTTACCAGGAGCACGAGCCATTGATCCAGCCAATAGCACTCTCCTTGGTGCTCCTCTTGGGTCCAATGCCATCGATCTGATCCTAGAAAAAAAGGTCGCAGACCTCTGGACGATGGAAAGCAGGATGAAAGACATTGATACACATGATGCCTTCTACCTACTCACCAGGTGCCTGTCAATCCCAAAACTTACTTACTTTCTGAGATGCTCCCCAGCCTTCAGCAGTCCAAAACTCAAGGAATATGACTCTCACCTTAAGACCATGCTAGAGAGTGTATTGAATCTTTCCCTTGAACATGGACAGTGGTTGCAAGCCTCACTTCCGGTCAGGCTTGGGGGGCTGGGAGTAGGCAGATCCTCCCAGAGCACTCTACCATCCTTCCTATCCTCTTCCATAGCATCAAATGAGTTAATAAGACAAATTCTTCCTGATAACCTCAGTGACTCAGCAGGAATACAGGACCCTAATTATGCCAGTGCCATCACTCAATGGGAGACTCCTGCTGCTCCAGCACCAAACTCTAGTGCAGCACTGGCTCACAAACAGTCAAACTGGGATGGCCCAATCACTGAAAAGGTGCTTGCAAACATGCTCAGGGCTGCAACATCAAACAGGGAGACTGCCCGTCTCCAGGCTGTGAGTGCACCTTACTCCGGGGACTTCCTCCAAACAGTTCTCATATCGGCAATGAGAATGTTCCTCGACCCCCTCCGTATTGCAGTGGCTCTGCGCCTTGCTGCCCCAATTCACACAGAATATACGTGTATTTACGGCGAAGCGCAAGCAGACCAATACGGTCTACATGGTCTCAACTGTTCAAAAACCAAGGGCTGGCATGCAAGACACAATGAAGTCAACGACATCATAAAGAGAACCCTTGCTACAGCTGGATGCCCAGCCGAGAGGGAGCCCCGATTACTAGCAGCCAACAATACCCACAACCCAGCAAACCGCCCCGACGGGATCTCCATCTATCCTTGGAAGAATGGCAAACTCTTAGCATGGGACTATACCTGTGCATCCACACTGGCTGACACCTACATCCATCACAGTGTGGGGCGACAGGGAGGAGCTGCTGGCCACAGGGAGAAGTACAAGATCAGCAAGTACACGGACATAAGCCAACAGTATCAATTTGTCCCAGTGGGATCAGAGACCTTGGGATCATTCCTGGAGAGATTACCTGGAGAGAGTTTCGGGGGTCAACGCCCCCGCGGCCCGGTCTGTGACCAGGTCTGTGACCACACGTTTCCTTAAAGAATTGGGTTCCAGACTCATCGACACCACCAGGGACCCAAGGGCAGCCACTTTCATGTTCCAGCACCTCAGCGTGGCCATCCAGAGGGGAAATGCATGCTGCATACTGAGCTCGCGTCTGGCTTCGGAGGAGATGGGGGAAATTCATAATCTTTAATACATTGTATCATTGAATTCATGTTTGTGTTTTCTGTAAATGTATTCTGTCTATTAATAAATGTTCCCATAGAATATAAAATATAGGGGGTCACAGAAGAAAATATTCAAACAGCTCCGGGGAGAACCTTGAATAACCTTGAGTTTTCCCTGAGGTACGTTTATTGCCTTCTCTGAGGTTGAGGGTTCCCAGTCCAGGTATAGACGTGGTACCTTCCTATATATATATATAATATATTATATATATATATATATATATAATATATATATTAAATATATATATATATTTATATATATATAAAAAAATATATATATATTTTATTGTGGGGCAAATAGGCAGAACTTGGTCTTGGCTTAAATAAAACGTCATCTTCCCATTAGACAAGTGAAAATTTTGTGTATGCAATAATTTTTCGCCAAAATCATTCTAAACCAATGAAAAATTTTTCACTGGTTTTTTAGTATTAAATTCTGTAAACAAATCAAAAATATATTTTGGGTTAGGCAAAAAAAATTTCTCTTGTTATAATAAGGTTAGGTAAGTTTTCTAAGATTCTTTTGGTGCAAAATTAAAATTTTTTACATTAACATTAATGAAAAAAAAATATATCTTTAAACATATAAAAGAAAATTTCAGAAAGGACTTAATTTTAAATGAGTTCTTGCTAATTGACCAGTTTTACATATTCGGCACGACATATTATATATATATATATATATATATATAATATATATATATATATATATATATATATATATATATATATATATATATATATATATATATATATATATATATATATATATGTCGTGCCGAATAGGCAGAACTTGCGATCTTGGCTTAAATAGCAACGCTCATCTTGCCATATAGGACAAGTGAAAATTTGTGTATGCAATAATTTCGCCAAAATCATTCTGAACCTAATGAAAAAAATATATTTCACTGTGTTTGTTTAGTATTAAATTACTGTAAACAAATCTAAAATATATTTAGTTGGGTTAGGCTAAAATAAATTTTCTTGTTATAATAAGGTTAGGTAAGTTTTCTAAGATTCTTTTGGTGCAAAATTAAAAATTTTTACATTAACATTAATGAAAAAAAATATATCTTTAAACATATAAAAGAAAATTTCAGAAAGGACTTAATTTTAAATGAGTTCTTGCTAATTGACCAGTTTTACATATTCGGCACGACATATATATAATATATATATAATATATATATATATATATATATATATATATATATATATATATATATATATATATATATATATATATATATATATATATATATATATATATATATATATATATATACAAATGTAAATAAAAGGATGAAGCGCAGTAGTGGACCGAAAATTTTTGAAGGTAACCACAAATAGGCAAGTACAAATAGGTGAGTACACATACACATGCACGCATGCAGGAAAACCTCATGCATTAACATCTTAGGGACACTACCAGAGAGAGAGAGAGAGAGAGAGAGAGAGAGGAGAGAGAGAGAGGATAGGATGAACCAACATGACTGGACCTCATAATCACCTAGAGTAGTTCAGACATTGAGGACATCACATATGAATGGGCCCTCGGAGCTATTGATCACGTGGTCCTGAGCTTCGAATACAAAGTTGAGTTGAGTTGAGGTAGGAAGAGTAAGATGGTAGAAGCCCAACTGCAAAAGAGAGGACTACACAGGCATAAGGAATTCCCTGCATGAGGTTCAGTGGGAAAGAGAACTGGTGGGAAGATCAGTAAATGAAATGATGGAATGCATGACAACAAAATGCAAGGAAGCAGAAGAGAGGTTTGTTCACAAGGGTAACAGAAATAAGGGGAAGACCAGAATGAGCCCTTCGTTCACCGAAAGGTGTACAGAATGGGAAAAGTATAGAAGACAAAGACTCAGGAAAATAGGGAGACTAGTGGAAAAGCCAGAAGCGAACATACACAGATAGGGAAGCCCAGCGGCATTACAAAAATGACACAGCATCGAAAGCCAAGTCTGACCTGAAGCTGTTGAACAGGCACATCAGAAGGAAAACAAGAGTCAAAGACAGGTAATCCGACTGAGTAAGGAAAGAGGGGAGTTCACAAGAAACGACCGAGAAGTATGTGAAGAGCTCCTCTT